TAGGAAATCATAATCTATCTGTTCTTGTGCTACCACAATCTCTAACTTCTATAGTTGATTTCTGTGAAATGCAGGATTGTCCAATAAACCTCTTCAAGTGTAAGTGTTCAATACCTAAAACAAAGAAGAAAACTCACGTGGTTCCTAGACATTGTCTCAGGGGCCAGGGAGACATTACACTTTTACCAGTATGTGATCAGAAACAGTCTATACATGTAACAGAACAGAAGTTTGGCACACACAGACTGGTTTAAAAATGGTGGAACCTGGTCTAAAATTAGTCTCCTGCCCCTGCCCCAAAGGGCAAACGTGTTCTGCTGGCGACTGACCTAAACTAGACCGCTTACAGAAAGCTGCATAACTTAGATCGACTCTGTCTTGGGCATTTTGAATACCTGTACCTAGCCAGGAAGCTTTCCGCTTCTGATACCCAAAATAGTCTTACTACTAATATATTCACTCAGCTAAACCTGAATACACAGGACGGTGACATCAGCAAAAGCTTTAATTACCTGTTGTCACTTGCTGTGTAGAAGAAACTGTCACCCAAACTTCTGGATGTCAAAGAACAAACAGAAATTTAAATTAATAAGGAAGAAAAAAGGAACCAACAGCCCTTGAAAAAGTGGAAACTTGAGAACATAGGTACACATCTGAAACAAAACAGTGAAGGCTGCTACTCCCTAAATTGCAACCTAACTTTAGAGGAAATGAAGACTCAAGTTAGACACAACTACAGAAGAGAAATCCCAATGCATCTGAACTGAGTTAAGTCAGCATCCCACACAAATAAGACTCCAGAAATTTCAACAAAAATGAGTCGCCATCTTAGAAGCGCTCAATTGGTAAGAGTCCATAAATGAGAGGATCAGTGGTTCAGAGGCAGAACATCCTATTCATGCAAAAACCACACACTGAGTATACAATGTCCTTTGGGTTAAGCATGAAGGTAGAGCTCACTGCAGATCAGTTCATGTGAGAGAAGGCAGTTTTCCAATCTTGCTATTTTTTTGTATCTGGAGCAAAGAAAATTTGCATACTTTATCAAATGACCAAGTCTCAAACCGATCAGTTTCTGGAAGGAAACAAATCTAATTCAGTTGGAACAGAGGCTCTGAGCTACCAATCACCTAATCAGTGTCTCATCTTACTCTGCCAGATATCTTTTATCACCACAAAGATAGAATTCTGACATCAATATTTTTATTAATTAATTAAGCTTCCTATTAATATTTTTGCTTCTAGTGCAATTCTGAAACTTTACACCTGTCTAGTTGCTGATTTCTACATGTTCAGCGGATGGGGTACCGCACGGGTCAGCAAACTTTTCAGGCTGCAGGGCCAGACTGACCCAGTTTGGGGCAGAGGTAGGCTGGCACACATGCACTAGGACCCAGCTTCTGCTGCTCCCACTTTTCCCAGTGGCTGCACACGGAAAGCACCTGCCCCCACTGCCAATTTCCCAGTGGCAGCACAGGGAGAGTGTCCACAACCAGTACTTTGCACCACTGCAGCATGGGGCTTTGTGGAATATTCCTGTTTGGGATGAATCAACTCAGAAGAGATTATCTCCCCCAAAAATTGTGATACAAGCAAGCTTTAAGTCTTGCTGCTTCTTCCTCTTCAGGGCATCTATTTTCAAACAAGAGGACACCAGTTCTTCAGTGTTTAAAGATTAGGTTAACTCAAATGAGTTAAATTTCTTCTCTCTAAATTATACATTATAAAGAAAAAGAATGAGATTTTTACCCTATTTTTCCTGGCAGATGGGTCAAAATTTGTTCTTCCACTGCTTCTGGTTTTCTTGTGAGGACTTGCAACATAGTAACCCTAAAAGGAGAAAATCAGAATTATCTCTGTCTACATGGGAACCTGGTCCCAAAGAAATGTGAAAAGGGGTCCCAAGACTTCCAAAAATAGCTCATTCCATTGCACTTTCCTTGCTGAGGGATGAGGAAATGGGAGAAAAGTCTCCATGCGAGCTGAAGAAAGAAGAAAAGATAGTTGAAATCATGGTCTGAGGTTGGGGCCAAAGCCCTTTAAAATATGCCTGGCATAACATCAACTGTGCTGAGCCACAAGCAGGATACACCCTATCTAGGTCATCTTTTGCAGTGCATCTTTTCTATGTTTGTGGAGGCCTGATAGCAAAAGCTTACTGCAGTCTTTACAGGCACCAGATGAAGGGGCACCGAGGCTGGGAAGCGTAAACAGCTGAACCAAGCATCAAGTCTGCTGGTTCAAGCCACTTCTGAATGCAACATTTCATGCTGCTCAGAATCAGGCCCAAATTGAGGAAATTCTGGATTTAAACCTATTTCTAGGTAGGGTGGATAGCAGCAGAATAAAAATATAGTTGTAGAAAGACAGCAATATTGTTCTCATTCTCACCAACAGGGGCAATCAGTTGGGGCAGATTGGTAGTCCGCATAGTATCATAGACTTAAAAGGGATCTGAAGTTTCAACTAGTTGTTTCCTGCACAGAAGCAGGATGCACAATTCCTGAATAGCCCAGACAGATGCTTATCCAACTTCTTCCTGAAAACCTCTATGTCTAGGGAAAGAAAGTACCAGAGGGACAACTGATACTATGCGCAGTAGCTGCTTTGCAGATCATATAACTTGTACAACAGTATTTACTTCTAACATCACTGATTATATTATTTCTCTAAATTGTGAAGGATAGGGGTGCATGAATATGTGGGTTCCCAAATGTTCAGTGCATTTTTCGAACCTTGATCTCAAATAATTTTGGGTGCCTGCAAAACACATTGGTTATAAAAGTGGGCTATCAAACGCCCACCATTTCATAGCA